AAGCAAAATTGGTGAAAGTCAATTTTTCATTGTCGGAAATCAACAGAATTTTACATCGATTATTGAAATAGCTAAGTTCACTGATTCATTTCCTTTGTTGTAGAATACGTGGAATATTCTTTCTGTAGGTGTCATATATAGTAAAAATCTCAGTACCCCAATAGCCACTAAAAATTTTATAATCTAGTTCTTCTCGTTCTGTTAAAATGGCATATGCCACTTTTGCACTCAATTGCTAATATTATAGTCTCATTTAAAAAGAAGTTATATTATGGCTAACTAAGACACACACACATATATATATACATGTATATATAACTCACATATCCCATTCAAACGTGTGAGTAAACAGAGGAGGGGGCATGACAGGTTATCAGTGCTTAGGGTCCTCACATGCCTTAATCTGGCCCTGGGCAAAAGGGTGAGGGAATGGAATGGAACAGAAAAGATAAACGAAGACTTTTTTTTGGCAAAGGCAGAGAGGCAAGTACTCATGGGCCAAGCCTGGGGCCTTATCCCCAAAGCATACAGTCCACTCTGCAGTGAGGAGGAATAGTAGAGTCCTTATTTGTAATGCCTGAAAACCAGACTGTATTTCATTCTGAAAGCAAGCGCTGCCATGGTTAGAGCATGAATGTGTTATCAGAAATAATTTTATCCCACACCAATAAAGAGAACTATGAAAGGGAAATCAGAAAATCAATACCATTTATAATAGCCCCTAAAAAAGTAAAATACTTAGGAATAAATCTGACCAGGGATGTAAAAGACCTATACAAAGAAAACTACAAAACACTACTGCAAGAAACCAAAAGAGACCTACATAAATGGAAAAACGTACCATGCTCATAGACAGGTGGGCTCAACATGGTGAAAATGTCAATTCTACCCAAAGCAATCTAAAATATAATGCAATCCCAATCCAAAATACCAACAGCATTTTTTTTCCAAACAAAAATTTATATATACATTGTTACATGATTCTAATTGCTCTCCCCATACTGTGACAGCACATACCTCCTTTCCACCCTATTCCCCATGTCCATTCAACCAGCTCCTAACCCTCTCTGTTTTCCCATCTCACCTCCGGACAGAAGCTGCCCATTTAGTCTCTTGTATCTACTTGAGCTAAGAGGCACACTCCTCATGAGTACCACTTTATGTCACAGTCCAATCCAATCCCTGTCTGAAGAGTTGGCCTCGGAAACTGTTTTAGTTCTGGGCTGATAGAGAATCCGGGGGCCGTGCTTTCCGGGGTACCTCCAGTCTCAGTCAGACCATAAAGCCTGGTCTTCTTACTAGAATTTGAGTTCTGCACCCCACCTTTCTCCTGCTCCATCTGGGACTCCAACAGCATTCTTTAACGAGATGGAAAAACTAATCATTAACTTCATATAGAAATGAAAGAGGCCTCAGATAAGTAAAGCATTATTAAAGAAGAACAAAGTAGGAGGCTCACACCATCTGACCTCAGAACCTACTATCCAGCTACGGTAGTCAAAACAGCCTGGCTCTGGTACAAAGACAGATATATTGACCAATGGAACAGAATCAAGAACCCAGATGTAAACCCATCCACCTACAGTCACCCAATCTTTGACAAAGGCCCAGCCTTTTAAACAAACCATGCTGGCAAAACTGGATGTCCAGCTGTAAAAAAAAAAAGAAATGAAACAGGACCCATACCGTACAACCTACATAAAAACTAATTCAAAATGGATCAAAGACCTAAATATAAAACCTGAAAATGATAAAGATCATGTTTGAAAAAACAGGGTCAATGCTAGAGGCCCTAATATATGGCATAAATAGGGTACAAACCATAACTAACAATACACAAACACCAAAAGGTAAGCTAGACAACTGGGATCTTCTAAAAATTAAACACTTAAGCTCATCAAAAGACTTCACCAAAAGAGTAAAAAGAGAACCTACAGGCTGAGAAAAAATTTTTGGCTATGACAAATCCAACAAGGGTCTACTCTCTAAAATCTACAGGAAAATCCAACACCTCTACAACAAAAAGAAATCCAATTAAAAAATGGGCAAAGGAAATGAACAGCTACTTCACCAAAGACACTCAGGCGGCTAACAGACACATGAGGAAATGATCGCCATCACCAGCCATTAGAGAAATGCAAACCCGAACTACAAGGACATACCACCTTACCCCAACATTACTAATCAAAAAAACAGAAAAAACAAATGTTGGAAAGGCTGCAGGAAGGTTGGAACTCTTATGCACTGCTGGCGGGAAGGCAAAATAGTACAACCATTTTGGAAAACGATATGGCGCTTCCTCAAAAAACTAAAACTAAAAATACCATACGATCCAGCAATCCCACTCCTAGGAATATATCCTAGAGAAATAAGAGCCATCATACAGACATATGCACACCCATGTTCACTGCAACATTATTCACAATAGCAAAAAGACAGAAACAACCTGAGTGCCCATCAACAGATGAATGGATACAGGAACTATGGTACATACATACAATGGAATAGTACACAACTATAAAGAACAATGATGAATCTGTGAAACACCTCACAAAATGGATGAATCTCGAGGACATTATGCTGAGTGAAATAAGTCAATTACAAAAGAGCAAACACTGTATGAGACCACTATTCTTAAAACTCATGAAAAGGTTTACACACAGAAAGAAACAATCTTTGATGGTTACAGGTGGGGGAGGGGGTGGGGAATGAAGGGAAAAACACCAACTAGACAACGGGTAAGTGGTAACTCTGGTGAAGAGTAAGACAGTACACAATACTGGGGAAGTCAGCACAACTTGATCAAGGCAAAGTCATAGAAGCTTCACAGACACATCCAAACTCCCCGAGGAACCCAGTTACTGGGCTGAGGGCTGGGGACCATGGTCTTGGGGGACATCTAGCTCAACTGGCATAAGACAATTTACAAAGAAAATGTTCTCCATCCTACTTTGGTTGAGTAGCCTCTGGGGTCTTAAAAGCTTGTGAGAGATCATCTAAGATACTCCACTTGTCCCACTCCGTCTGGAGCAAGGGAGAATGAAGATAACTAAAGACACAAGGGAAAGATTAGTCCAAAGGACTAATGGACCACAACTACCACAGCCTCCACCAGACTGAATCCAGCACAACTAGATGGTGCCTGCCTACCACCACTGACTACTCTGACAGGGATCACAACAGAAGGCCCCAGACAGCGCAGGAGAAAAATGTAGAACAAAATTCAAACTCACAAAAAAAAGACCAGACTTAACTGGTCTGACAGAGACTGGAGAAATCCCGAGTATGGCCCCTGGACACCCTTTTAACTCAGTACTGAAGTCACTCCTGAGGTTGACCCTTCAACCAAAGATTACACAGGCCTATAAAACAAACAATAACACACACAGTTCAACCATATATATGAGACTAAATGGGCACACCAGCCCAGGGGCAAGGACGAGAAGGCAGGAGGGGACAAGCAAACTGGACCAATGGCAATGGAGAACTTGAGGTTGAGAGGGGGAGTGCTGACACATCACGGGGTTGGCAACCAATGTCACAAAACTGCATGTGTATTAATTATTTAATAAACTAATTTGCTCCGTAAACTTTCACCTAAAGCACACACACACAAAGCTAGACACATGAAAAAAAAAATTTTAGAAAAGTTTTGTATTACCTTCCAAAAAAAATCGCTTCATCTCAAATACATTTTGGAATAAAGCACAATGGTAACTCCCTCTGATTCAGTCCTTTCTAATTTCACTGTTGTCCCACAGGCTATTTACACACAGTCTGGTGGAAAAGGGGTACACCATCAAGAGAATTTAAAATACACTTCTTTACTGCAGAACCTTTAACCTGTTAATGCGCATATATGTATACTAACCTCTAAAAGGCAAGTTTAATGGACTCCAGCAACCCTAAGGACAGAGTAGAACCGCCCGCAAGGTTTCCAAGGAGCAGATGATGGATTCAAATTGCTGACCTTTTGGTTTGCAGCCCAATGCTTAACCACTGCACCACCAGGGGTCCATTTAACCATTTCCCATTCCCTTCGAGTCGATTCCAACTCATAGCAACTCTATAGTAGACAGAGGAGAACTGTCCTACAGGACAGAGCAGAACTGCCCCACAGGGTTTCCAAGGAGCGCCTAGTGGATTCGAACTGCCGAGCTTTGCGTTAGCGGCCCTATCTCTTAACCACTGTGCCACCAGGGCTCCCCATTTAACCATAGGATCCCAAAAAAACAAAGCAAAACAAGAATACTAACTCACAGGATGAGAGTTTCACAGAACAAACCTGAGAAATTCTGCCCTCATCTACAAAAACAGAATCTCTCCCAGGCAACTCAGACCTCTGCGAAACAATGGCAGCCACCAGCCACATGCAGCTGTTTCAGTGTAAATGCGAATTAATTACAATGAAAAATACATCCTTTTAAAGTATTCTAGAATGTAACTTTTCAACAGCTTGGAGAGACCTTTCCTCATAGTACACCTAAATATGTCACACTGTAAGATGTTACACAAACGTGAACGTACAGTTCCTGAAACGCTGAGAAAGGGATGTCTACTGCAATGTGAAGAGAGATGGGCACCATCCCAGATGTTCATTAAGGGACCACAATCACAGAATTAGACCACACTTTATCTACTGGGGTAACCAGCGGTCACTGCCCATAAAATTCACTGATGGTTGTGCTGTGATTAACTCGTAGCCCCTACAAGATTGTGAAAACTTTCCAGGATCAAAGAAAAAAAAAAGAAACATTTTTATTCTATTTTCTAAATCCAAAATTGGGACCTATGAGGTCAAAAAATCATTAACAACTGGAATCCCACAAACAGCAGATTCCCCACCTCATTCACCCCACAACACCATACGCTCTTGTCTAGGAAGAAAAACATTTGTGGAACTGCCACGTTTTCCACACATCTCCAGTGGTTCTCAAGACTCCCTCCCCTCTCGAAGAAGCTCAGTCGAGGCTTATCTCCTAGCTATCCGCAGTACTTACCTGTGTGACTGCGAAGGTGAGCCTTGAGGTGGGAACTTTTGAAGTAGGTTTTCCGGCAGCCTGGGAAGTTGCAAACATAGTTCCTCCTTCGAGAAAAGTCTACCTGAGGGGCACAGTTTTGGCTGGATGCGATGAAAACTGGAGCAGGAGCAAGGGGCAGTAACCTGGTATTCCCAACAGCCATCACACTCGATGGGCAGGTGGCAGGCTGGGGGAGGGCAGCCTGGGGGAGGACGAGCATCACAGTTCCCTGAGGCACAGGTGGTCCCATGAACACAGGCTGGGCGACTGGAGTAGTCTGGGGTAAGATGGGCTTGACAGTCCCTGCAGACAGTGGGGGAGGAGACTTCAAAAAAGCTGGTATCACGCTACTCTGTCCAGACATGGGGATCATTTGGCAAAGGACAGGGGGGCTGGGGACGGGGACAGAAATCAGATGGGTGGCTTTCCTTGGCAAGTAATTTTCATAATTCTTTGGTGAGCAGTTTTGAACAGCAACAGGCCATCCCGCCTGTTGGCCTTTATCGGTGGGGATCAGGCCACCAGAGTTGTCCGAGCAAGGCTGACAGGATACCGACTTTGTGCTGAGTAAACTGTCAGCGAGGTGTGTGTCCTGCAAAGCTGCACAAGGGCCCAGAAATTGTGCTTCTCCTCTGTTGTCTAAAAGTCCCTGTTCTTGAGACTGGGCTGCAGGAATGTGGGCAGGAGCAGGACTCTCCCCCGTGTGCCGGATCACACTCGTCACCACACTCGTCACCACGGCTCTGCAGGGTGGGCCAGGGGCTGGCTCCAGCATCTCGGGCTTCGAGCCAGGCAGCCCACTCCCGGCCTTCCCACTTAGCACTTTGGCAGCCACAGCAGAGGCGGGGGCGATGGCCGTGACCGTGCATGCTTTGGAATCAGTCACTTGGGAAGGAACAGGTGCCCCTGTTGATGGTTCCATGAGATCAGGGCTCTGTGGAGGAGTCATGCACTTAAAAAAAAAAAAAAAAAGTACTGTGTAAAAAAGTTTTGGTTAAATTTTAAAAGCGACTTATTTTAATCATGCATGTTGCCCCCCATGCCATTGAAAGAATAAGCCAGAAGAGACTGGTTTAAGGCTGCTCACAACAGCACCAGTGGATTTCAAGTTTGCACGAAGCACTTTACTTTCTAAGCTTCTCTCCATTTTGCTGACCCATCTCCCCACTTGCCCCGCATTTAAGAGAACACATCCACTCACTTGCTTTTGTGTAAGAAGCTCAGTGCTCCCTCCCCTAGACTTGTATGGTTACTGAAATAAGCCATTTAAGCATTAGGATGTCAACTGAGAAAACAAATGTATACTTCAAAGTGAGAGCTTTTCAGAATAATTTTAGATTCTCCAAAAAAAAAACCCCAGTGGTAATCATTTCACTAACACTTATAGGGTCGCTATGACTTGGAATCCACTCGATGGCAACGGGTTTGGGTTTTTTTTTTTTTTGGTTTATCTAATGTCTACTAGATATTAGAGCCATCCATAAAACATTCATGAACAAATCAGTGATTCTTCTAATCCCCCTGGACCAAACCTCTCTTTCTATTACTCTCCCAACAATTTCTAGTTATTTTCAGCCACCCTACAGGAGAGCCCAAGGCTGCATAACGCCAAGAGCGGGATTCCAGCAGTCAGGCTGCTGCTTTCACAATCCTCTCACCAACCACAATTTCCTTCTCATGTCTCTCTGTTTTCCACACTGCTGTCCAGTGCACTCTTGCAGCTCGATTAGATCCTAATTTTCCCTTCTCTTAGCAATCTACAGCTCAATTTCTCCAAGATGAGACACAATTTCTCCAAGCAATTTCGTAGCTATTAGCAAGTTAAAAACACAAACACAAAAAACGGTGCTCTTCTGTACCCAACTCACAGCTAAGAAGTTGGCTGCCACGTGAAGGCAGAGAGGCCAGTATTTCAATGCAGCTAAGACTGTAGTCTGATGCCAAAACACACGCTTTCTCCAGCTGCCACCCACGGATCCTCATCATCCTGGGGAACCTAAGCACCCATCCCAAGATTCCCCAGGGAAATGGGTACATTTTACTTTCTGGAATCAATCTACAGGATGCATTCTTTGCATGCTTAAACCTGTGCCTAGCAAGCTATGATCCCTCAATGGAAAGAGACCGCATTTTCAAGAGATAAAAGAGCTTCTGTCCCTTAGGACCCACACCAGGGGAGGGTATGCACTTTTCTTGCCAGCATCCCAGTGAATGTACCCAAGTGTTCTTCAATATATTCACTTAAAACACATTCATTTAAAAACAATATTTTTCGGCCCACACCTCCTTACCAGAGTTGATAAAGAATGGAAGTCCTTTGGTAGCTCAGATGCGGCTGTGTCCACATGCATAGTGGTGGTGACATCCCCAGAGTCAGAGACAGGTGTGAGGGGTCTTATCTTCAACAGGTCACCTTTCTGGGATCTTTGTCCCCAGGAGCTCATGCATACAAGAGCCTCAACAGCTTCGATGTCTGTCTGCTCCAAGATGCTGCACGTAGACCGCTCGCTGTCATGCCGCTTCCTCTCCAGGATGGACTCACATATGTCCATGATGTCAACCTAAAGGTAACGCAACACAACGGGGCTCTCAGTCCAGGTGAAAATGAGTATTTCCGTCTAGGTGAAAAACTAGTGAAGCATAATCCCCAATGGGCATGTCGACAGGCACACCAGGAGACTGCACTATCCATGTAACGCACACACAATACTCCATACACAACAAGCTCTGTGTTCTAGTAAAAAGGGCTAACAGAACATGCATGATTAATTCTGCTTTCAAACAAATGTTTTGAAGAGGGAAGGAAGATGATGGGACTTGGCTGGCAAGGCGTTTCCTCGAAAACCAATTCTCAAAAAAAGGTTATGAAGTTCATGTTTTCCTTTGGTAGATGATTAGTAAGACTAATTCCATGTGTGTAAGCCAAAGCTGCCAGTGTGAAAACTGCCCCACAGGGAGGAGCCTCTACTGAAGAGAGGTACCTTGACCTCTGGCACTTTTCTTCTGGACAGGTGACATCAGAGCATGGCTCTTCTAAGTTGGCAAAGCCACCAAAATGGTGTCGTCCCTACAGTTACACTGACTTTTCAAGTCACTGAACCCCATGTGCCCCATGAGGGCAGAACCCATGACTACTTAGCCTTGTTTCATAAGTTACTTGCTAACGCCACAAGCCTAGTAGGTGGAAGAGGATGAACTCTGAAAAAAGATCCACCGCAACCTAGGAAAAGATCTTTTCCCAGTGTATCACACCACCTCTTTATAAGCCGGAGAGGGTGGGAGGGAAGCGGCTGGGATTAACTGATCTCTTCCAAAAGTAACTTTAAATTTATCAAGATCCGAATTTCCACTAAATGCTTCGCATCAAAACTTTGTCCTACCCAGGATCCCCCCCCCCTCCCCGAGCAATCACATAAAGAAGCTGCCTTTACATATGCGACCCTGCCTAGTCCACGATACAGTGAAGTCACGGAACGTGGAAGTAGAAGCCGCCTGAGGCCTGCTCGGCCCACCACACGGCGGGAAGTGAGTTGAAGTCTCCCAGAGTCAAGGACGGGAACCCAGCCTCTCGGCCTGTCGCCCATCAGCCCACGTGCCGAGCCGACTGTGCCTGCAACCGACCTTCCCGCGGCCTCCAGACCCCGCACAGAAGCCGCGGCCCCACGTGCCCAGCAGGACAGCCGAGCCCCGGGCAGCAAGAAAGGTGCAAGCGGCCCTACGCCCCTGCCCGGCAGCGAGTACCCCACCCCGACCCCGCCAGCTTGGGGCGTTCCCCGCCAGCCGCGCCTCCGCCCCAACGGCCGCCCCCTCCTTATAAGGGCCCGGATGACGTGATGGCTGGAAATAGCCCCGCGCGCCCTACAACCGGGCGGGGGCGAGCCGATTCCAGGCAGGGCAAGACAAAGCTGCGCATCCCGGCGGCCTCGGAGCACACGCCCCCTGCTCCCCCGCCCCACCCAGCCCCGGCCCCTGCGTGACCAGCGCGACCAGCGCGGATCGCCCCCCAACCACTTCGCCGCTCCCCCAGCCGCCCGCCCGAGCGGCCCCTAGCGCGGACACACCGCTCCCGAGCCCGCCAGGGGCCCTAACGGTGTGGACGCGGCGAGAGGCCCGGGCATCCTCTGCGGGCGCTGCCCGGCCGCTGCCCGCGCGCGGCACTCCTCCCACCCGACCCGGCTAACCCGCACCGACAAAGGCGGCCGCACCCCTCGCCTCGCGCCTAACTCCGATGATGCTCCCTCTCCGACGCCAGCCCCGGTCACTCACCGAGCTCGCGTCGCCAGAACCCGCGGAACCCGGCGTGTGCATGGTGCCGGCGGTCAAGATGCAACAAAGCGGCCGCGAAGCGTGTGCTTGGCGCACGGCGGCGGCTGCACATGTGTGGTCGGGCGGCGGCTACCCGGACTCTGCACCGGGGCTGCGGCGAGCTTTAGCTGTCAGCGTGCGCGCCTCCGCCCGCACGGGTCTTTCCCGGCGCAGCCCTCAATGCACGGGGAGGGGCGGAGCAGGGAGAGGAGGGGGCGCGGGAGGCAGGCCGCGGGAGGGAGCGGCCGGGAGAGGGGCGGGGCGTTCAGGCAAACCAAAATACACGGTGCCCCGCCTGGGAGGAAGCAGGGCGGCGGCCAGCCAATCCACGTTCGGCCCGTGAGCGGCCGGCCAATGAGTGCCGGGGGGAGCCGCGTGATCAGAGCCTGGCCGCGGCGTGATCAGGCTGGGCGGGATGCGGCAAGTGTTTTGATCGGGGCGAGGGGGTGGGGCTTGAGGCCCTGGAAAGTAGGGGAAAGGTCCCGGCGGCGGCTGTGGCGGGAGCGCGGCGGCGGAGGGGGCGGTGCAGCTGCAGCCGGGGGAAGTCCCCGGCGCGGCGCCGAGCCCGGCTGGGTTGGGCTTGGGGGGAGAGGAGAGGCCGCGCTTAAAGGGTCCGCCCGTAGGGTGTCCGAGAGCCTGTCTCCAGACCACCGGAGAGTGAATTCATCCGGTAGAGGTGATCCGCCTGGATGCCTCAACTAAGCTTTTTGTTTTTAATTTCCGTTAATCCACCTGACCAGGAAAGAGATTTGAAAGCTGGTTGGCTCTAGGTGACATTCCTGCATTGATTCATTCCTGGATTAGGGTCTGGAAGAGTGACGGAAAAAGAAACCTGGCGCCCAGAGCCCGAGCTTCTAGGCCTGCTGCTGCCACTGACGCCCCTCCGCTGGCGTCTCTGAGCAGGGGACAAATGGGGGCAGGGGAAGCGGAGATCGCTGATCACCTGAGATGTGCCTGGTGAAACCCACCCGTTCTTCCCAGGCCCTGTGGAAATGCCACCCCCACGGGGAAGTCCTCACTGAGGCCTGGGTGAGAGAGATCTCCCCGTTTCCACAGCACCTTTTTCCCCTGTACTTCAGCTGACCGTGTCTATGTGTGTGGTTTGTCCACTTTTGTTGCTCTAAGCTCTTGGAGAGCAGGGACCAGGCTGTGTTTATTTGTTCCCCCACGGCCTCCAGCACAGAATGTGGCATTCCTTCATTCATCCGCAATCCACATTTACTGAGCTCTGTTAAGGTATGATAGTCCCTTGGTGGCGCAAAACTGTTAAACGCTGAACTGTTGCTGCTCTACTAGCAAAGGTGGCAGTTGGAACTCACCCAGAGGCGTAGGTTCTGAAAGGTCACAGCCTTGAAAACCGTATGGAGCTCAGTTTTACTCTGGTCATACGGGGTCGCTGTGAGTAGGGATGGACTCAACCGGCAACTAGTAGCAATAATATGGGTTGTTAAAGGGCCAGGTGAAGAAGATGCAATGAGGAATCCTTGTCCCTAGTAGACAGAGGATCTGCTACAGTGGGGACAGTGCTCTGAGAAGCCGTGGGCTAGCCGAACTCGCACGCTAGCCGAACTCGCACAAGCAGGTAGAGCCATCCCTCAGTTCCCTGGACTGAGGTGAGGTCCACGGCTCTTTCCACCACTTGCTGCAGACAAGCCTACTCTGGTTGGACAGAAGGACTAAGTAGACCAAGGACAGGGTATTTGCTGAAAGCAACATTAAGAATGCTTGAAGAGGAATTAACCACTATTAACTGCTCTCATGGAGACCTCAGACTCTCTGAAAAGGGCAGATGATGCTCTGGTCATGAAAAAGGTTCAGTCTTAGATACAGACTTGAATATCCTGTCTCCTGCACTAGCTGTTCTGTCTCCTCACCAGAAAGAAAGCTCCAGAGGTCTCCCTGGCCTCCCTGCTTCCTGCTTCCATTTTTGCCACCCATAATCCATTCCCTGCCCAGCTTCTAGAGTGATCTGTAAACCTTTCAGTGGCTCCCGCTGCCCTTAGGATAATATCCACACGCCCTGCCGTGACTTGGGAAGGCTTGCATGGATGTGGCTCCTCCCTGCTCCAGTCTTACCTGCTGTACTCTCATCACACCCTGATAAATACTTCCTACTTTCCTGCCTGTCAAGGCCTTTCTTCAGTCACCTGTTAATGTTAAACCTACTGCCTCCAGGCCCTTGCACTTGCTGTTCTCTGGAATGTGTTGGCTCCAGACGCATCCTCTGGTCTTACCTGTCATCTTCCCAGAAAGGCCTCCTCCAACCTACCTGTCTAAACGTTGTTGTGTGCCATCAAGTCGATTCCAACTCATAGCAACCCTCTAGGACAGACGAGAACTATGATCTTTATGGAAGTAGGCTGTAATCTTTACGGGAGCAGATCGCCAGGTCTTTTCTCCAGCAGAGCCGCTGGTGCATTCAGACCACCGACCTTTCACTTAACAGCTGAGTGCTTAACCATTGCGGCACCAGGGTTCTTTGTCTAAAGTGTACCTCCTCTACTCTGTCTTCATTTCATGTTCTTCTTTCCTTGATCACTTTTCACGATCTGTAATTAGGCTGTTTCTTTAGTTGATTGTTTATTGTCTGTCTTCCCACTAGAAGGCTAGCCCCCAAACTTAGGGACCTTGACTGTCTAATTTACTGTGAATCCCCAGTGCCTGACTCACTGTAGGCACACAGTAACTACTTGTTGAATGAGTGAGTGAATACAGGTACCTACGGACCATTCCCACCTGGGCATCTCTCAGGCACCTCTAATTCAGTATACTCAAGGCTGGACTCTTCTCCCCAAATCTGAGCTTCTGTCTTGGTGAAGGGTACCACTGTATAACCTGTCCCTTGATCCAGAAATCTGTCAGCTTTGACCCTTCCCTTTCCTGCACTTGTTTCTGCCAATTACGTCCTGCTCTTTTTCCTCCAAAATAACTCTCAAACCATTAACTTTTCTCCATCACCTGCTCCTTGCCCTGGTCCAGGCCACCATCCTCTCTCATCTGAATTGTTGCAACTGCCTCCTACTGAGGCAGCTCCACCACCTACAGATCTGCTCCTCACCTCATCGCCAGGATGATCTTCTGGAGGTAGAGGTGGTTCCAAACCATTACTCAAATCCTCAGTTGGAATCCAAGCAGCTGTAGGACTGAATCAGCACTGTTTAGTCAGGAATAGAGGCCGCAGGCAGTCCTTCCTGCATCATTTCTGACCATTTCCCTGAAACTCTTTCCATTCTGCCTTCCTGGCCCCACTGCCCCAGTACAGAATCCTGTGCTGAAGTGCTTTCCAGCCCTGAACATTATGTCATGTCATTCTTTCCTTCTTTGCAGATGATACTCCTTCTTCATGGAACACCTCACCAATCTCCTCTTTGTAAGACAGCAGTACAACTCCTCAACGAAGCCCTGCTGACAGCCCCAAACAGAAGGACGACTCAGCAGAATGCAAAGTGCATGGGCTTTGGAGTCAGACCCGGATCCAGACCCCAGCTCTGCCAGTGTGAATAAGGCCAAGTCATGTGACCTGCCTGAGTCTCCTTCCTGTGTAATAGAGGGTGGGAGCAGCTCTCTCAGGGAGCCTGGGGCTTGAACTCTCTTACCCCAGGCCCTGTTTCTGCTCCCCGGGCAGCAGGAATACCTGGAAATGTGGGCAGCAAGCTGGCCCAGGGCTCTTCAGGCAGAATTCCCTTTCCTTCCTCATAGATGTTCCAGACAGACAGACAGGTCTTCTCTCCTGCTCACCCCTCCTTCCTTCTCCCCCTCCTCTACCTATCACAGTCCTGTCCGTGGCCAAGGCCCATCACAGATACCAGCTTCTCCGCAAGGCCTTCCTTGATCCCGCACACCTTGCCACACAAAAGGCTGTGGTTGCTGTCAAACCCTGGATTCTTTTTGGTCCTGCCTGTAGTCAGAGGGATGTTGAAGTATTTGTAAACTACAAACAACAACAACAAAAAATGAACCAGTTGGCATAAGTCAGTTCCAACTCATGGTGACCTTGTGTGTTGCAGAATAGAACTGCACTCCATAGGGTTTTCAATGGCTAGGATTTTTCAGAAGTAGATTACCAGGCCTTTCTTCTGAGGTGCCTCTGGGTGAATTTGAACCACTAACCTTTCTGTTAGTAGTCGAGCACTTAACTGTTTGTGGCACTTACGGAGCTGTTATGGATTGAATTGTGTCCCCCAAAAATGTGTGTCAACTTGGCTAGGCCATGAGTCCTAGTATTGTGTGATTTTCCTCCTTTTTGTGATCTGATGTAAATTTTCTATGTGTTGTAAATCCTAATCTCTGCCTGTGGTTATATTAAAGAGGATTAGGATGGGATGCAATACACTTACTCAGGTCACAGCCCTGATCTGATGTAAGGAGAGTTTCCGTGGGGTGTGGCCTGCATCACCTTTTATCTTACAAGAGATAAAAGGAGAGAGAAGCAAGCGGAAAGAGAGGGACCTCATTACCACTAAGCAAGAAGAGTCAGGAGGGGAACACGGCCTTTGGACCTGGGGTCCCTGCACTGAGAAGCTCCTAGACCAGGAAGATCGATGACAAGGACCTTCCTCTGGAGCCAACAGAGAAAGCCTTCCCCAGGAGCTGGTACCCTGAATTTGGACTTCTAGCCTCCTAGATTGTGAGAGAATAAACTTCTGTTTATTAAAGCCATCCACTTCTGGTATTTCTGTTATAGCAGTACTAGATAATCAAGACAGGAGCAATTTGTAAACTAAAGATACTCCCAAATAATTCACTCAGAGACATCACTATGAGCCTCTCCTGCACCAGGCCCCACAGACCCTTGCTCAGGCAGAGAAGGTCTGGCAGGTGACTGGGTGTGGACACAGATAACTCCTCTATAAAGTAAAGCTTGATCCTCCAGCCCAGATTACTATCACTTTCTCATGTATCCTTCCACAGGTAGTCTATGTATATACATATTTTTACATGAGTGACAGTGTTCTATACACGTTCTTGTGAACCTTGTTTATTGACCCCACAGCCTGTCTGGGACATTATTACATGTCAGTATGTAAAGATCAACCTCA